AAAAAGGTTAAACAAAAGAAAACTTAAAAGTCAACACTTCAAATAGTAAAAACACATTCTACTGAACTGAAATAAGAACCAGCTCCAGAAAGCCCAAATGTTAATCTGAACAACAAAAAAACATACTGCACCAGGGCTGGTCTGCACAGGCAAACCTGAGTCTAATCCAGAAGTTTCAGGGACACACCCACTTCACAGTTTAAATGTGGAGTGTTGATGCGTTACCACAAAACAGATGGCTAGCAACCATGATGAATCAATCAGGGACTGGATGATTCAAATGAAGATTTTAAAGCAAAAATGAGTAGGGGTGGGAGTATGGAGAGTTGATTTTCTCCATCAAAGCTCTTACTGTACACAGTCCTGGACTCACAGTCTACAGGCCACACTGGAATTTAAAACAGAAAAAAAAAGCATGTACTGGGTGGGGAGAGGGGTTCCCACTGTACTCCATCCTCCACCCACCTATTGCATCTCTATTTAACAGAACCTTTTTGAAAGCAGATACTCTTCCCCTTGGTTTTCTGGTCTTGATTAATGACTGAGTCACAGGGCCAACTCATTCCCCAGAATTCCTGGAATTCGGCCCAGTGGCCTTGATCAAACCGAGCAGGAGGGACACACAGCACTTGCTCTAGCTTGTCTCTTCTGTGGCCTGATCTCAATCAATATTTGTTTGCTCCCTACTGACTTGTTGCAGCCTCATGCTCTCACAGCCTTTCTCTGCTGGTCTCCTGATCTGGGGTTGGAGTGGGTGGAAAGAGACTGGCAGGAAGAATGATGTCACTTGGCATGAAGCACTTTCAGGGTTGGGAAATCCAGGCCTTTGAGTCTACAACTCAATTTCAGTGTTTTATGGCCCACATATTGTATTTTCAGCAGGGCCTGGCCGCCTACAGAAAAAAAGTCCAATGTCAGCATTCAAGATCTTCCACACTGTGGACTTACCTACCTTTCCTTAAATACCTTCTGCACACACACACACACACGCGCGCACACATGCATCCTGCACAGAAGAGTTAACTGGACTGTTAACTCTTCCCTAAACACGCTCAGCACTTTCTAAGTTCCCTCCACCAGGAACCTCAATCTTAATTAGCTGACACATGAATGAGTCTTTAGGATACAGAAAATCATAAATGCCACCTTTCTCACACACCCCTCCTTGCCCCGTGCTTCTGAAGCTTTTTGTGTGTCTGTGCAACATTAGAGTTGTGTGTATAAAGTCTGTGTTCCATATTATCTGCTCACAGCATTTCCAACCTACTCCTTCCTGTTTTCTCATAGATCTGAGCATAGTGCCTGGCACACGACAGGCATTCAATTTCATCTTGAGATGGTTTACACATACTAGATCTTTCTATATTAGAAAGTCTTTTTTTCTTCTTTTCCAACACACTCTCCTTCCTCAGTTTTCTCTCTCCCTCAGGCTGGACATTTCAAATGCAGTTCCAGTTCCATGCATTCAGAGCTGGAGGCTTAAATCATCAACTTCTGCAAATCTTAACAAAGCCTTCGGGGCAGCCTCTTATCAATATATAGCCATGGCCCCCACCTCTGTGCAGTCAGGGCTACTTGGGTCCTAGCTCTGTCCGTAGGACAACATGGGAATGTAACCTACAACTCCTGGCAAGAAGGGATCAAAGTGGCAGGATGTATGAGCGGCTTTAGGACTCTGATTTCCTCTGAGCGGTTAGTGTGTAGCCTGGGTGTGGCAGGGAGACAAAGCGCATGGACAAAGGGCTTTCATATCACAGTCACTCCCTAGCATCAGAAATTTCTACACCACACCTGGGGTAAAACTCAGGCCACCTGGGTGCTACCGACTTGTGCTCTAACAAGGTTAAGCTCAGCTGGATTAAAAGCTTCAGGGTGTGCCGGGCACAGTGGCTCATGCCTGTAATCCCAGCAGTTTGGGAAGCCAAGGCGGGCGGATCACTTGAGCTCAACAGTTCCAGACCAGCCTGGCCAACATGATGAAACCTTGTCTTTACTAAAAATACAAAAATTAGCTCGGCATGGTGGTAGGTGCCTTTAATCCCAGCTACTCGGGAGGGTGAGGCTGGAGAATCACTTGAACCTGGGAGGCGGAGGCTACAGTGAGGAGAGATCGTGCCACTGCACTCCGGGCTGCGTGACACAGCAAGGCTCCATCTCAAAAAAAAAAGGCTTCAGGGTGTATCCTAGAAGGGAGATTTGGAAGTAATCTGATGGAACCACCCAGAAGGACAAATATGGACATCTCCTGACCCCTACTGCGACCTGTCCCTCCAGAAAGTAGATGAGGACTGCCTCTGGCAACAGCAGAAGAAAAAACATACCAGGCAGTGAATGGGTGGAAAGAATTTTTTTAAGGGACTGGAATTTCCTTTGGTGTGGCCTACAACTAGAATAGGGTGTGGCACCAGGGCAAGTGAAGAGGATTCTCATGTGAGAAAAAGAGGAACATTCCATTTCTATTTAATTCTCACAACTGAATCTGGAAGGCAGCTTAAGACACCATAACTTTAAGCAAAACTTCCCCGAGGTAGGCAAAAGATGAAGTTTAGGTCTGTGGAACAGCTGGATTAAAAGGGAAATGCACCCCTGCCAAGTTCAGAAACTGGTATTAATTTGGGAAAATATAAAGTTTAAAATCCAAAAATTCACTTTTTGGAATTGTTGTCTCTTTTCTTTCTCCGCCAGATTTAAGGTCTAAAGAGCAGGGATTTTGGGGGCTGTCAGAGGGGAGTCTGTTTTGTTCACTGCTGTATCCCCAGTGCCCATAACTATGAGTGGAACACAGGAGGTGATCAACATTTTGTGGAATAAATGGTTGTTTAAAGCAGCCCACTAGGGCCTGAGACACCTTTTGTGACAATCCCACTCTCCCTCAATGAAAAATGTCTCCACAGGCTCCAGGCTCTGCACAAACACAGAGAGAACAAAGGCTCCAGACAATGCATTAGTGCCAGATTCTAGGCCCAATGGTGAGAGCCTACAGCCCTCAAAATCAATAGCAATTATAGAAGCATATCTACTTTGCCAGGAAAACTGCTTAAATCAGAAATTAGCCAGGAAACTAACGGCCATGACTGCAAGCCTAATGTCAATCAATACCACAGTTTAATAGCTCAAAGACACAAGATGTTAAATATTGAGACTCCAGTGCAAGACTGAGCTCCTAATCAAAGTCAGTGAGTCAGCAATATTTCCTGGGCATTTACCACAGGCAGGCTACTTGGCACTGCAGGAAATTACAAAATCTAGACGGTCTCCAAATCACAAACCTCCGATTGTAAAAATGCACATAGATAGTCACACCTTTCCACTGCAGATGCAATGGACACTTGGAGAAACCCTTGACCTTTAGATAATCAACAGACTTGGAAGAAGGGAAGAAATTATTAAGCATGACTGTGTTAACACTCTTGGCCCTTGCCCATCAAGGGCACCTCTGCTGCCCCAGTCTTACCAAAAATCTTCCTTCATACTGCCTGAATATTACCACTTTGAGTTCTATAAATTATAGATCTGTTTAGGTGAACAAGGTTTTTTAAATTATTTTATGTATTTATTTTTTGAGACTGGGTCTTGCTATGTTGTTCACATTGGCCTTGGACTCAAGAGATCCTCTAGCTTGAGCAGCTGGGACTACAGGCCCACGACCACGCCCAGCATCGCTGGGTTTTTTTGTTTTTTTTTTTTTTTTTTTTGAGACGGAATCTGGCTGTCATCCAGGCTGGAGTGCAGTGGCACGATCTCGGCTCACTGCAAGCTCCGCCTCCCAGGTTCACGCCATTCTCCTGCCTCAGCCTCCCCAACAGCTGGGACTAGAGGCGCACGCCGCCACGCCCAGCTAATTTTTTGTGTTTTTAATAGAGACGGGGTTTCACCGTGTTAGCCAGGATGGTCTCGATCTCCTGACCCTGTAATCCGCCCGCCTGGGTCTCCCAAAGTGCTGGAATTAAGGAGTGAGCCACTGCGCCCCGGCCTGTTGTTTTTTAAATAACAGGACTCCTCTGGGTTGCTGAGGTTCTTAGGACCACCAACCATTTCTAACTTAATGAATATTGATTCAATCTGCTAGCCTCTAGCTGGATGCAGGTCTGCTGAAATGGGAAGGAGGAAGGAATGCAGCGTAACTGGACCGGCCTGGATGGCTGTTGTAATACGTCACAGAAGAGCGTCTCTAAGGAGGTGGAAGGTGGAAAAAAGAAAGTGGAACAGGCGCAAAGACATAATTTTCCAATTAAAATAATTTACTCAGTGTCAATCTTAAAGCTAAAAAAAGTTTCAGAAAAATATTTCAGTGATTTAGTCTTCCTACATACATATTGCCCCTCACTACCCTCCACCTCCCCACCACCAACCCCATAATTAGGCAGTGCATGTTAAATAGGTTTTTCAGGGCTAGCCTGAGAATGTCAGCACCTTCTGCAACACTGGTTCAGTGGGAAAGTGCATTCTGCATTCCAAGTCACCAAGTTCCAGACGGGGACAGTAGCACACGCATGTGAACAGAATCCATCAGTACAGTCTGGGGCCCAGGCCCTTGCACGGCAACAGCTTAAGGCTTTTGGTAATGGCCCAGGGTGCACCCATGAGGCTACTCCTCTTTTACACGCACAGACATCCACAGCTTTAAAATGGCAATCTGACTACAAAAATGACACTTTGCATTTGCACAGCACTTTGTGTTTTTTGTGTACTTTACACATTTATTATCGAATGACAGTGTTTTTTGGAATCTCCAATAACCCTGTTTGGGGGGTGGTAAGAACAGGTATCCTTAAGCCACCTTCCCAGATAAGGAAACTGGTGTTCCCCTCCTTGGTCTCAACAGGCAGCTGATGGAACCCAAGCCCTCCACACCAGCCCTGGGGCCAGCTGCACTGAGCGGCCAGGAGGGAGCAGCCCCGGGGCGCCACGCCCTTCTCTGTACCCTCAGTTCCTGACTCACTGTCACATCATGGCGAGTAACAGGACAACCCTCCCCACAGAATCATGGGGGACACTACCTTCCTGATGCCAATGTGTTCAAACAAGCGGGCAACTCTCCAGGTAGAGTGAAATCCGAAGTTGCTATGCTACAAGATAACCCAGACCAAGGGGAATAACTGACGTTTTTATGTTTTCTTTTATTGGGGGGGGAGGCTGGGGGGTGCCTACTCACATTCTCCCCTCTCATCTTCCCCCGCTACTTCCCTCCTGCTGGTCGGTTCAACTCCACAAGCGCGCGTTTGTTCTGAGTACAGTAACTTAGAGCAGATGGGGGCACTTCCTAGGGGGCGGTGGAAAGCCCACTGCTACTGCTGCGCCGGGGACCCACAGCTTCCTGGGCGGCCACGCCCTGCCTCGGCGGCGCCTGGCGCGTCTGGAATGCGGGGCCTCCCTCCGCCCCCCTCCCCGCGCCGCCTCGCCCCGCTCCCGCAAGGACTTCTTGGGGAAGCCCGACCCCCCACCCTACCCTGGACCCTCCTGGCCCGAGCCTCGGCGGCCCCTCACGCCTGCCCCAAACACCTTAGCCCCCTCCCCAAAAGACTCTCCAGTGTGAGCCATCCCTTCAGTCCCCTGCCCCCGACGGCCTCCGGGGCCAGTCGCCGGAGCCTCCCTGCCAGGCGGTACCCTTCTTCCTACCGTCTCCGCACCCCGCTAGCTGGCGGCCTGTAGCGGGCGGGTAGGGCGCGCCCCG